AAGTGCAGGGAAATTCCTTGAGCAGTTTCCAGGGTCAAGAGGGAGCAGTCCAGCCTCACTTCTGGTGACTTTTTGGGAGATAAGGAAGATATGTTGTCTTCCAACTGGACAGAGACAGTTTTGTTTACATTTAATAAGCTAGGAAAGAGCCATGTTTAATAAGCTAGAGAAACAGAGCCACAGAGTGCTGTGTCTTGCCGCAAAATAACGGTAGAACCAAGCTGTACGCACAGGTATCTAGTACTTAGCACATCCACTCACTTATTTTCTTCTTCCTGGTTCTCTGTTTTCCCACCTTAATTGAGTCTCAGAAACCAGCTATACATTTCACTCTAGAGCCCAGCTGGGGAGGTGGAGTTAATCAGATTTTCTTCAAGCTACTGGACTTTAGTGGATTAATAGCCTCTGTGGAATTTTCTGGCTGATTTGAACTGGCTGAGACTCTGGGGTCTCTCCCTCCCAACCTACTGAGAGGGGACAACCCCTCCCTTTTACCCAGTAGCTTTAGGAACTCCTTCTTTAGAGTTTTTGGAGGTTGTTTCTCCCTAGAATAGTTCTTAACAGGTCAGCTCCCTCCAAGCCCAGGCCTTCTCCCCAGCAAAGAAATCTGGAAGGCTTTGTTCACCAGCCCTACCCAGCCCCCAGGATTGCAGCACACCCTATATTAACTCCCTCTTTTATTGGCTCCCGAACACCAGAACAATAATGGGCTCTTTAGAATTTGCATGAGGTTCTGAGTAGTGACTGGAAATAAAGTTTTGCTTTGAAGGTGAGTATTCACATAAGTCTGATACAAATTTATATTATGTCTGTTTGTCTGTCTATCTATCTATCTATCTGTCTATCACTAACCTTTTGTGTACTTCACATAATCTCATTTACTTTTTACACTCATACCTTGAGGTAAACATTATCTTTGCGAATGAGTACCTGTGTGTGTACATTTGTGAGTATGCTTGGACCAGACAAGCATGTATATTTTGGTGTATATAAATTGATTTGTGATTTGTATCCTGCCTAATTCTTAAACATGAGTTCTAATTTGTGTTTGTAGGTGGGTCTCTGTCCACATAGGCATACAAATATGCATTTATGTGTGTTATTGTTGTGCCACAGGGATACTGAAACAAACTGTGAGTTGGCAACTTTGTCCTTGCTCTCTTCACCTGGCTAGGAAGTGCCTATGCAGGCAGGTGTGGATACAGTGTGTAGAAGTTACTTTTTTCTTTTCTTCAAGGGATGCTCTGTGTGTATGTGTGGTGTTGTTCTTTGTGGGTATGAATGCCTCCAAGGCTGTGGCCTGTGTAGGAGATGAGAGTAATTATTACCTGAAAGTAATTATTATCTAATAGGCTTCTGTTTATTATAAGGCTGCTACTTTTATTTAATCAGCAAACATGAAATGAACATGTGCCAAGCATTGAGGATATGACAATATGTAAGATAAACAGTACTTTGAACCTCTGGAACGTGCAATCACTTCAGAGGTTCAGTGGGGAAAGTTGTGAATCTGCAATTTTATCCTATATCTCACATATTTCTTATGTCTATAAATAGCACACCCAGATCTTCCTGTCTTGTGTAGGTCACTACTGAAAATAAACAAATGTAGGCTTGGAGGTCAGGAATTTATATTCTCATTTCATCTCTGCCTCAAAAAGGCTGGATGGCATTGGATAAATGACCAAACCTCTCTGGGCCTAAGTCGAACAAGGACAGTAATGCCAAGCTGCATGAAAGAAATGACATGTGAGTCTAATCTAATTGTGACTACCATGCTATGAAACAAAAAACAGTGGAATAAGGTTGGATTCAACTGATTGTTCATTTCTATTGGTAGCTTGATTCCAATACTTGACTGGTCTCTTCTAGGTCTCAGTAGTCAGGTTTGAATCTTCATAAATATGAATAAATCTTGACACACACTGAGACTTATTAGTAGAAGAGATTCGTTCTTTTATTAATTCAGCAAACATTTATGGAGCACTTACTATGTGTCAGGCACTATTCTAGAGATATAGCAGGGGAAGAAAACAGGTAAAGATCCCTATTCGAACGGAGTGTATCTTCTATTGGAGGGAGGCAGATGATAAACAAGTAAATCATGCTGTATTAGGCAATCATAAGAATCAGGGGGAAAAAGTAGGGTAAAGAGACAGAGAGAGATGTGAACGTGCTATATTACATAGAGCGTGGTCAGCTCAGGGAATGCTTTCCGAAAAGGGGGATGTTCGAACACTTCGAACACATGACCAAAGGAGGGCAGGGAATGAGCCATGTGAACCTCAGGGAGGAAAGGAAGAGCTTTCCAGGCAGCGGAAAAGCAAATGCAAAGGCCCCAAGAAGGCAGTGTGCTTAGAGTTTGCGATAAAAGGCAAGGAGACCAGTGTGACTGGGTGGAGTGAGTGAAGGGGGAGTGCCAGGTTAGGAAAGCGGTTGGGGGCTAGATCACGTCCTCCGGCCAGGGCGGCATGAGGGCTTCGGTTTTATTTTGAGTGAGCGCCATTGGAAGTTTGCGAGAAGAGTAACAAGATCTGACTTAACATTTTAACAAGATTAGTCCGGCTGCTGTGTTTAGAATAAAATGTGTGAGGAGAGGAAGGGCAAATTGAAAGTGATTAGTTAGGAGCTACTGGAAAAAACACTTGTGAGAGTCTTACAGACTGTTTTTGTTCAACACTGTTATTTACAGAAGAGAAAAATTATATCCAGAGAGGTTAAGTGACTTATCCATTAGACTAGAAGCAGAGATGGG